CATCAATCTCATTATAGGGGAAGGGCATCAGTGGCATCCTCTCCACCACTGCCTGGATTCTTATTGGGGCCATCCCTGTGGATACCCTAACATTTCCCCTGAGTCAGACCTCTCTCCATACCTGTACTTTCTCCCTCTATCAAGACATCTCCATTCTTGCCCTCCTCTATTTCTCCCCTGTCTCAGTCCTCTTGTTCTCCTCCCCCTCCCCTTCTTACCTTCCCACCTTCTTCCTCTCCCCATGTGCTCCCACTTTGTTCAGGGGTTCTTGTCCCCCTCCCATTCTTCAAGGAACTATGCAATCTTCCTTTGGGGTCCTCCTTGTTTCCTTTGCTCTATGTCTAAAAATCATATATGAGTGAGTACATACCATGCTTATCTTTTTGTGACTGGGTTATCTCACTCAGGATGGTTTCTTCTAGATCCTTCCATTTGCCTGCAAATTCAAGATTCCATTATTTTTTTTCCTGCTGAGTAGTACTCCATTGTGTGAATGTACCACATTTTCTCTATCCATCCTTCAGTTGAGGGGCATCTAGGTTGCTTCCAGGTTCTGGCTATTACAAATAATGCTGTTATGAATATAGTTGAACAGATGTCCTTATTGTATGAATGTGTGTTCTTTGGGTATATGCCCAAGAGTGGAATTGCTGGACCTTGAGGTTAGACTGATTCCCATTTTCCTGAGAAACCATCATACTGATTTCCAAAGTGGTTGTACAAGTTTGCACTCCCACCTGCAATGGCAACCCCACATCTGACAGAGGGCTGATCACCAAAATATACAATAAACACAAGAAACTAACCACCAAAACACAAAACAATGAAATTAAAAATTGGAGTGCAGAATTAATTAGAGAATTCTCCACAGAAGAATCTAAAATGCTGAAGACACTTGAGAAAGTGCTCAACGTCCTTAGTCATCAGGGAAATGCAAGTCAAAACATGAGATACCATATTACTCCAGTCAGAATGGCTAAACTCAATAACACCAATGACAGTCTATGCTGGAGAGGATGTGGAGAAAGAGGAATACTCCTCCAATTGGTGTCCTTTATCATCCTGTTCAGGTAACATTTAGGACAGAGCTGTGGGATTCCACACTGGGAATGTAAGACACCAGTGCCTGTTATCAGGAGCCCTGCATGCTCATTGCCCTGTTTCCTGAAGCTGGATTGTGTTTTTCTCAACTCTACATTAACAATGATTGATGCTGAATGGACATCAGTGTCCACTGCACAGAGCCTGTACACACACATACACACTCACATGCAGTTTTCTGTTGTTAGAGGCATCAAGGCCCACTTAAGACTTCTCTTGATTCTTGGCTCTGTTATAACTTTGACTTGTCTGAATACAATTATTTATGTCTGTGTTTGCTTTATCATGTTTTGTTTATATTTTAAATAAGCAGAATGTATATGCAGCTTGACTGTACAATGACTTATTGTCAATAATAGAATTAATACTGCCATTGGTACCATGACCACTAACTGATTATTTCTATTAAACGAATAATAAGAAAAAGAAAAAAAGAAAACAACACAGTTGATAGTGGGATGCTCTGGCGCAAATTGTTTTATTTATTTATTTTTGTTCACTCACATGAAGTCAAAAAGTTGTATAAACAAGAACCTAGGGCTAGAAAACCATTTTCTTTCCCATCTGACTAGATCCTTTCACACACAACTCTCAGGTTGAGAGTTGATTGCAATGTCTGATTTCCTGCCAGTAAAGTTATTTTCCTTCTGGAATTTCTTCTCAAATTCCATCATTATCCCTCCTTATCCTCCGGGCCTTTTCCAGCAGATGTCATGATACTCAGGAAGTGTACACTGAACCAGTTAAAGGTGGACAAAATTCCCTCATCCTCCAAGGCATAGTGTCTACCTGCTCTAGGCTATGCAAGATAAAGTGTCTATAACATTATGAAATCTCTTGTTCAAATATAAACCTCAGTGTCAGGATAGAAAGTCAAGAGGGGGTCCCTTATTGGTGAATTCCAAGAACCATCAACAGAAAGATTAAAAGTTATATGAATGATAGGTCCAGTCATTGTTATATGTGATCTTGCTGGGCTCATGCAAGGTTCATAGGGATGACTTCTATGGAGACAGATTGGATTTCTCAAGTACAGACAAAGCTTGCTACACAGAACTCCACCACATGGCTGCCATGATGTCTCTCAGTCACACATGATTACTGGGACAACATTCTTGACCTGCACATGGTGTGGAAACATCATAAATCTGTCTACAAACATTACAGAGCAATCCCTACAAGGGAATGAGTTTAATCTCTTGGAGACCATGGTCTGTCAAAGAAAACACAAAGGGTAACATTCTGATATTTAAGATATGATTGTAAAATGACATCAAGTTTGTATAATCAAGAACATTGCTAAATATTGTTGCCATGAGACAGCAAAAGGGAATACCTAGATAGAGTAGTTAAGCAAAGCCTGGGAGAAAGTGCTGAGAGACCAGTAAGGGTGTTTCCTGACTCTACCCAGTGTTTATTCCACTAAGTTAACCACATAGAAGACTCAGGAGACCATCTTCTGTGGGAATTACACGCCATGTGTAGAAGGATACAAGATGTGACATGGGGTTTAGTTAGTTCCTAGACTCTGTCACTCCGCTGGGGATGCTACAGAAACAGAAATGACACAATTCAAAGACAATTTCTATCACCACAAAGACAGTACACCTCATATTAGAATGAATTCCTCAGTTGGAAAACAGGAATGGACAGTCTTGTCTGGTGGTGAGGCCATCTAATGTCTCTTCATGTTGAGTCTCACCTAATCAGGATAGAGTGTCATGTTCTGGGGAGGAGACGGGACTGGACTGATGGACGAACACCTGAGCAGAGTCCCAGAGTGGAGGATCTAGATTTCTCTACACCTGGATCTAGTTTCTCTACAAACTCACGAGTTCTTCAACTTAATAAATACTTTTACCAGTGTGTGTGTGTGTGTGTGTGTGTG